TAGAACACAATAGAATTCGTTTTTATCATATTTATCCGTAATATTTTCATTGCGTGCGTATTTGCCCCTAATGTATACATCCAACTCACAAGTTCAGTAGAATCAAAAAGGTATTACGTGACATTTTGACGGCCTCGGTAGTCTAGCGGTTTAACAGAACGCCTTACTTCCGATGGTCGCGGGTTCGATTCCTCGCACGGCACAAACAAATGTATTCATGATATGATTGTTTATGTCTGCCTGAGTGTTTTCTATGTATTATATGGATGTATTTACGAAAAAAAAATCTATGTATTTGTATCAGTTATTTAGTACCCATAACACAAGTTTTGGCCAGCTTTAAGTGGGTCTAGATAGCGATGTGTGAATTGTCTTTAGATTATTATTATTTTATATTTTAGAACTCGTAAGATATTATTTATAAGTATAGTAGTTAACGAATGCAAATAACTAGTGACAATAGCAAAATTATACAAGTATAGATTACATCATTTCTGCCACACCTCGAGACCGCCAAGTACAACTTCGCGATATTATTCAAGATTTATCTAATAGAAGATATAAAAAAATCTAGCTAACAATATAAAACTTGGACTTTATTTATTCAAACGCCCTATGAGACTGACTACTACTCGTTTTAAGAAAATATATTATTTTTTGCATATGACAGCACAATTCTATGAGTAATGTATGTTATTATTGACACAGGAGTCGAGTAAAAAGAAAAATAAATCAGAATGAAATATAAGAAAAAAAAAAATGAAACGTATCGGTTTTTTGCCGGCGAATTCATCATTTTGTTCTAACTGACTATATCCTCGTTCTTTCATTCTCCACTGGTGGATTGCCAGTATATTATTAGTAATACCGCCTTGCCTTCGCACTGGTGTACATGTATTATACATACATATAAACCTTCTTAAATCACTCTGTCTATTTCTAAAAACTGAATTAAAATCCGTTGCGTAGTTTAAAAGATCTAAGCGAATAGACAGCGGAAGCAATTTATTTTATACTATACTAGATACTCGCCCCGGCTTCGCCCGGAAATACATGTATTATATATATAAAACTTCCTCTTGAATTGAATTGAAAAATATTTACTATAAAAAACTGCATCAAAATCCGTTGCGTAGTTTTAAAGATTTAAGCATACATAGGGACGGACAAACAATGACAGCAACTTTGTTTTATACTATGTAATGTAATGATAAATATGGTCACGCAGACGAAGTCATGTTGTTCTAACTCATCCATCATTCTTTTATTCTCCACTGGTAGATTGCCAGCGTATCTAACATTCAGTTATCATTTATTTAAAAAAATACGGTCACGTAGCCGAAGTCACAGTTAGAAGCTAGTAGATTACAAATAACTATGCTCACTTTTCAAACGTCTTCATACAAGTTACGCTAATTTAGGTAAACACTAGTTAATTGTCGATCAACAAAGGCTCGTAGAGTGCCAAGTATACAGTAATGCAATATGCACGCTCGTAGTAATAATTACAATACAAACAAGTAGGTAGCGATTTCTCAATTTTCAATACAGTCAACAGTTACCTTCTCAATGCCACAAGATACAATTACCATAGACATGTAGTTCTTTAGGTCGTGTATTACCATATGTTATGTAGTGTTTACCTCATACCCGTAACATTACTAATCACGCACTGTATTATGATTTCGTAGACGTATAGAGCAAGTTTATGTGGAAACTTCCTTATCTGTATCACGCAACGATTTGTGATGCTATAGTATGAATTTTGGTAAAAGAAATTTCACGTTTTTGGACACGGAATATAATAGTGAAAATAAATTTGGAATTAGGATTTTTAAAAGCAACCTATTAAAGTTTCTGGGCCGGCGAAATAGTTTTACTCTACTATCTTCGACTTTGAAAACGAAAATTTAAAATTTATCATATCATAGACCAATTAGTACCTACACCTATCTTCTAAAACTTTTTAAATATTACTCTTAAACAATCCAATGTTTATTATAATTTGTATGAAAAAATATTAATGAAAAAAATGTGAAAGTCTGCGCTACTTTCAATTTTCCGTTTTTTTTAATATATATGATAATATATGATCATGGTACATCAATGTGTAGTCGTAGAACAAAAGTATGCCACTATAAGAAACAGAAGGAAATACCTTGCATTGATTGTTTTCAAAGTAGAAATTTTGCATAAGTGTTAATTTCTGAGTAACAAACGCAACCCACAGATTGTCAGAAACTTTAGTAATAGTAGGTGCTGTAGATGTGTTGCAAATTTGTCACTGACGAAACATGTAGACGAGTAAGTGCCTACCTATCGACACTACTACCTAACAGTGAGTACTGTTTGCGGCAGACAGGCCGAAAGTAATCAGCGATAATTTATTCAAGGTCTTAATATTATGGCTAAAATGTTACAGCATATATTTCAAATTGTACACAATGGAGCTAGCGCCTAGCAATTTACTATAACTCTCATAGGTAACGAACCATAATATTATTATATAGAGGTAAAGCTTATAAGATTGTAGGGGTAATCTCTGGTTGTACTGAACCGATTTATAAAATTATGTTACCAATAGAAAACCAAACAAAAAATAATTTGTGAGTGTCATATATTTGCGAATCTTCAATGAAAAATGTAAAAATGGTGAAATTGTGTCACATATGAAGTTGTGCTCAGAAGTGAGTCAGCTAATATTGAGTATAAAGAGAGACAGCGGATTTAACTGTTTATGAGGAAAATTCGGAACGACTGCAGCAATTTGAGAATTTCGTTCACAGTTTGAAATTTACATTATAACAGAGTGATAAATATATAGTATTAAAATATACGTAACTCACAAATTGTCACTCTTACTTACAGTGCGGGTTATGCGCCATGTTTACCATAAAAACTTACGGAAACTAAAATAATTGTCCTAAAATATTACGTTTAAGTTTTACACGGATCCAATTATTGTAGTGATATACAATTTATTAAAATATGATATATAATAAAATACTATAGAACTTTATAGTAACGTACTTATCTATTAAAGAAAAAACTAACAACTGAGAAATAACTATGTACAAGAATTTAAAGTGCAAAATGAACATGTTTTAAAAAGTATAACAATTTTTAAAGTTTATCCAATACAGACAAAAAATATAGTCTTTCCTGATTTGACCATTAGCTTAGATAATTCAATAGAGAGAATGTCGAGATTGTGACTGCGGTGGGTGGTTTTAATATTCTACATGACAATGTGTTGGATCTATATTAGTCCTATGCTAATCTGCACTAACCACAAATCAATAAATGTGTCATTGGATTTTATTGATTGGACAAGAACAACAAGTAGGTAGTAATTGGTATTGCCAGATTCAATTTTGACTGAGTTTAGATATGGAAATTCACAATTTAACTATCTTTAAATAGTATAAAACAAAGCGCTGTGCTTTATTTTATACTATGTAAAGATGTCATTTCCCTTATATCTTTAAAATCAGGCAACGGATTTTAATGCGGTTTTAAGCAATAGATAGGGTGATTGAAGAGGAAGCTTTATACATATAATACATGCATGTTATAGCATAGTACAAGCTGGGAAATTCAAAGATTTGTAATGCATTCATGCGCAGCTAGGGAATGCAATCCCGATCCCGCGGGACCCCGATCTCGCGAGATCTCGTGTAATTTTTCGGGATCAATCCCGACGCATCATATGACGAGATCCCGTTCGAGATTGACGGGATTGGGCGGCAGTGAAAAAGAAATAAAAAATATAATCACACGATTATATCGTAAAGAACCAAACCAAGCAGATATTAATACGGCAGTACTAATCGAAGATGACTTGCCTCTTTCAATGATTGCAGAAGATTTGAATTTACGTGCTGCACAAACTAATAAATCGCTTCAAGAGGAATTAGAAGAAACTCTGCGAGCTTCTAAAAGTCCTTTTGCACGTATATCCACGTCCACGAGCTTAGACAAATTAGAATCTACCATTAAAATAGAAATGGATTTGTTTGAGTGTGGAGGAACAAGGGGGCGATTTTTGCAGTTTGCATATAATTGCTTCGCCACGCTGTTGCCAACCAGCGTTGAGTCGGAGAGGGCATTCTCAGCAGCAGGGTACATTGCAACGGACATTAGATGCCGTTTAGCAGATGAAACTATTAATACCCTTTGTTTTTTAAGGAGTCATTTTCAAAATCACTCTTTTTCCTAATTCCCTTGAAATAAGCTTATTGTTTTGATTACCTAATTTACCAACGTTAATTTCCTTACAACCTGATTATTATTTAGTTGGTAAGATTAAAGAATAAAGGTTTTTATTTTCTTTCGAGTAATATGTTATTTTAGTTAACCTCACTATCACAAACAAGCAGTTATTAGCTTTTTCAGTCATCTGAATTCAACATTTATTTTAATTTAGACGGGATCCCGAAAAATCCGGGATCCCGTGGGATTGATATATCTAATCCCGCGGGATCCCGAATTTGCAATCTCGAGTCGGGATTGCATTCCCTATGCGCAGCCTTGTTGAGTTGCAAGTATTATATATGTATATATTAGGCTCTTGTAATTCTTGTCACAAAATTATTAACTTATATATATAATATGATATATATAAGTTAATAATTTTGTGGAAAAAATATATGTATAAAAATGAATCGCTGTTCGTTAGTCTCGCTAAAACTCGAGAACGGCTGAACCGATTTGTATAATTTTTGTCTTAAAATATTCGTGGAAGTCCAGGGAAGGTTTGAACGGTGATAAAACATTAGGAAATTGCATAGAGAATTTTAAAAACGACCGTTTTATTGTCCCATACAAACTGTCAAACAAGGTGCGATCAGAAATTTATTGCGTAACTAAACTTCAAATTCCTTCCTTTAATTCTGAGGCAGAACGGAGTTCACGGGGCGGCTAGTATATAATAAAACGAAGATATAAAAAATATCCTAGTGTAAATATATATAATGTATTTTTACAACTTCTATTCTCACCTGACTGCGACGCGTACACTAGACTCGTCACTAGCCATGATTGGAAGTGACCACCTGCAAAAGAAACAATCAACCATTATATGCCATTCTTCACCATTATCACTATTTCCTGATCTTACATATAGGAAATTAAATGAAAAAAACTCTTTACTGTTCCCTCTCACAGAAAGCTAATATCAATAATATAAAAATTAATATGTATACCAAATATAAATATAATATAATTATAATTCAGAGGTAACAATGTGAGGCCTTATCGCTAAATAGTGATTTCATCCAGGTATGTAATAAGTATGTCACAGTTAGAAATTTATATATACTTTGGTAAAACAACCCATTAACTAGTCACCAGTTAATAATGTTAGAGATAAGTTAACTCATTCCTAGTAAACAATATGTTAAGATAAAAAATATAATTGTCCGAGATATTTCATAATGTCATTCATCCATTCAACTGTATAAATATGATTGACCACTTAGTATGTAGTATTGAAGTTAAATATAGTACTTCATATTATAATGTGCCATTTATGTAAAGAAGTTTTTCACATTCTCAATAAACAAAATATAAAATATAATAGATATATGTGTAATATAAAAGACATGATATATTATACAAAGTATTCTTGTAATATATCTAATAGTATTAAAAGAAATTCTTATACATCATTTTGCAAAATATTTATATCTTTACTTATCTATAATGAAATTATCAAATTATGACATTGCAAAAACTCTGATTTATGTGTCAAGATTTCAATTCAGTTCTTAAGGTAAAAATAAAAACAGCTGGATAGATTAGAGAGCAATTTTCAGAGAATATTTTATTAAATATGGATCAAAATATATGCTAAAGAAATCTGGGAGAAATACTACCTAAACAGATGAAATAATTGTATTTGTGAATATATTTAATAAACCATGTAGTATTTAATACTATTTAATTAATAAAATAAAAAATGTTATAGTTAGATAATTTATTTATCGTTATATTTCCTTTATAAATTATCAACATACTACCTACCTACGAATGTACCTACTAATGTATATGCTCTGAGTGACAAGCATATCTAGTATTTAATAATAAAGATATTTGTTTATATTTATGTCTTATTCACAAACAATTACAGCCATTCCTACAGTATTAAAATAAATGTTACTAAACAATAATTCACACAACTTCATTGATTAATAACAATGATAAAGAATTCAGATAACAACATGTTTTTTTTATTATTTATATATTAATTAATGTTATTGTGTACATTACTTAAATAGATAAACAATATCATTGCATACATGTGCCACAGATATCCAATCACAGTTTTAGTACCAGTCATATATTGGCACTCATTTGTTCATTCCTATTATATATTCAACATAACATTTTAGTATTTTAATAAGGATTATGTACTGTATCCATACTTATACACTTTCTACTGATGGAATAAGGCTGTTAGAAAACCTGAGGAACTACAATTGGTATCTAGGCATTAACTAAATAATGAATAAAATTACAAATCCATAGAATTTCTTTATTTATATTACAGGTATTACATGACATAAAATTACGAAAAGATTGAAGTCCAATTACAAATTCAAATTATCATGTAAACAAGACTGATATTAGCAAATAAACTTACCATTAATGAAGCATACTTTAATTGTACTCTAAAAATAACTTAGTGTTAATGTTAAATTTAAAAAATTACATTATTCCACTGATAGTTTATAAAACTATCGGAAATTTGGGCACATAGGCCATCAACTCCACAGCTGATAGATAAAAATAAAGAATCAAGTATAGATTATAGATAAATGCGTGTACTCACCGCACTGAACTTGAAAAACTTTGATTCTTGATTCAGTAAATCACATTTCACAAATAAAATTATATAAACATTACTCTAGAACAACAGGAACCTACTTTTTTGTACATCTTTCACCATAACAAGTAAATTATACGATCGCGATATGCCGTACTGCGTATCCTGTAATTAATTTTCACTATAGTTTCTATTTTATGTCACTAAGACATTTATTATAATATTTATTTTAATATTTGCAAATAAACAGGACGTTATTCATTCACAACAGATGGTCTAGAAAAAAAATTACGTTATCAAAGTAAAAACAGGAGGAAGACCATCGAAAAAAAACGAAATCAAAGTACCGGTCACGTCAAACTAAATGTCAAACTGACTGCTCTGAAGTTTGAAGTATGATGATTTTATTATTATTAACTAGGTCGACTGAACTGACATTAAAAATGATACCATCCGTAAATCATAAATCTACTACTTATTACATTAAACCTACTATTTTCTTAATATAGTAAAATATGTAGTAACTGTATGTAATGTAATAGTAGTAGTATAAATGATAGTAATGTAGGAAATATATGTTGAATACACAGCCTTATATTATTCCACTAATAAAGAAGTATTATCGTTTCCTAATACATTTATTTATTGTTAAATAAATGGTGTTCTATTAAATTAAAATTATAATTTTAGTTTAATAGTTTTCTTGTCATAAGTAAATAGCTTTTGTCGGAGATAATATCCGAGCACACAAATGTTTTGAACACGCCACCTAGAAATACGACTTGTATTACATTTTAGTTCAAAAGAACAAAATTTATTATAGCAAATAAAGCATTTAGGATTGATAGTATTTATTATACGTATCGTCAATAACTTAATTAATAATTTGAAAAAAGTCATTCATACATAAATCGTTAATAGTTTCGTCATCCGTTTAGACTGGCTGAATAATTTTCTGTATTGCAAAAAGTAATAGTGACATGATAAATACGAAGTATTAAAAAAGTGTTCATACAAGAATCGACAATTTTTTGTGAATGTACCAATGTTGACATTTAAGAGTACCAAATTTTTGGAGTGAAACGGAAATAAAGATAAACTTTATTAAAATCGTACAAATATTCACTACAATGTTATAAAGTTCTCGTCGAATATTACGAGATAATTTTCTCAATCCGCAACCAACTCAGTAAACTTATTTTATGTTTATACTTATAAATATACTTTTTTATAATAATTTAATCCAGTAGGTTTATGATATTAAGTCTTAAATTGATTCAATATTGTAACTGATTATGTATAAGCTGCTTGCATCTATGTATTTAATGTATTGCAATATGCTACATTTTTTATCTTCTATAGACAACTGTTATTTTCTTCTATCGGGTAGGCTGTTAACTTATTACGGCGTCAAAAATGTTTTACAATAAAAAAATTTTGTTATATGGGATATTGATGTTTTATATTTATCTTTTTAAAAACATATTTAGGGCAAAGGATATGGAAGAGCGGGATGTACCTGACACAGGCTTTTGCTTTTTAGATCATGCTAACACTGTATTATTGTAAAGAAATTGTTTTTAAATAAATAAACATATTTTCATTATTTTTAAATTTTCATAATCAAAATATTTTTTGTTTGTACTTGTAAAAATGCATAAGTTAGTAGATATTTTAATTAATGGTAACATTAGAAATATGCGACACTAGCGCTGTTATCGAAGAAAGAAATGATTGCAAAAAGATTTACGAAAGATGTAATAGGTGGCGTTTTATTCATAATTTAAAATGTCGACTACAGATGGCGCTGCACTGCACTAATGTAGCATTCAAATCTACTGTTCCTTTAAGTTTTGTATGATACTAATTAAATAGTAAGTATTAATATCATATTATATATCATATCATACTGAACTTCATATTGAATATCAAAATTACTTTTCGGGGTTAGTCGTAAAAGGTATATACAACTTTTGACTAGAAAGCACTATAAACACATCCCCAATTTTTATGAGAAAAGAAAAATAATTTTTAAAAATTAAAACTTGTATTGTATGAAAAGTACAAAAATCTAATTTCAGGTTTCCACTTTCTCTCGTGTTGAAAGTGTTTCGGTTTCATGAATTTTGGCTTGTTATATCTACCTACCCTTTACCACTAAACCGGTACTCTGAAAAAATTATCGCTTCAATAAATTGAAACCATAATAATAACGATCCATCTTTGTAAGTCTATTTTCAGCACGATTTTACCACATACTTAGTGATGGATCATTCTAATTATCGTTCCTTGTATGACGCCAATTTTATGGAATTATTTCTAATAAAAAGTGTCAAGCAAGAATATTTCTGTCAGTTATTGCTTACAGAAATATATAGACATACTTTTATGAAAGTACCTGCATACGTAAATAGCTAGTAGGTACGATAAAAAATGGAGGATAGTTAGATATTTTTATATTACTGCCATAATAAGCAACTCGCGTAACGTATTAGTATTATTCTATATGTATAAAAATCATATCTCTATCTACAAATTGAATACCTACAGGTTTGGAATACTTGCTAGCGATGTACGTAACATTTAGCGAATGGCTACTTATCAGGTCGACCACCACGCGGTCCCTAGAAACCGCTGTGGTTAATTCTTGGTATATTCGCTACTGTGAACTAACTAACATGACCTCGTGCTCGTTCTATCAGACTTTACTGGTGACCCTTATCGTTATTGTATGCGATGCATCATATTCATCGATTAAATACCTACGTTCGTAATTGTTTGATTTAAGTGTACATATAATTGTATAAATATGAACCTATGTTATATGAACGTCCACTATTCAAATAAATAGAACCTTCTTTAGTAAATAATTTGTTATTGTCTGTATTATATGACAATCATAAAACTGGGTAAGACCAGGCCCTATTATGGCCCTGTGGTTTTTTTGGTTTCTGCAATAAATATGAGGCTAAGTCATCATCACCTGCTTCTTTCTTATCCCATTCATTTGGGGCGTAATACTATATGTTACATCTAACGGATTACTTGTGCGTATCGGTGTACCTTAAGGATCTATTCTTGGTCCATATTTATTCCTAGTTTACGTTAATGATCTTCCGTTTGCCATGCAGGATAGATCCAGCATGGTAAAATTTGCAGATGATATTTAAAGTTAATAGAATGACTAATAATTACGACGATGTAAATAATGCTATGCGGGGTCTCGTGCACGGGTTTACAACTAACAATCTTATGTAACGCTAAGAAAACAAAATGGTAACTAAAGAAAAAGTATAAAATGTATTATATGTGTTAACTATCGTGTGACGCACCATTAATTAAAAATGGTAAAGTCAATAATCATGTAACCTGAAACGGAACGTCAGAGGCCAGAGCCAAAGTAATCTATGTGACATTGACAAGTGGATGACGGATAATTGAACGGAGGCAGCGGGAGTTTTTGGGAGCGAAAAAGTTGAAGTGTTGATATTATTATAAAAACAAATAAGAGATAGGTAATTGTGAATATTGTAGGCATTGAGGTGTTTCTCTCCCTGACTAACCGGTATTACGCCTAAGTCGTCAGGATACTAGTGATTTTAAAAGTTCAGAAGCGGTACCAATCCCGCCTACAAATTCGACCGTAAGGTAATTCTGATTAGAAGTTGCGGTAAGTGAATTTACGTTAATAACACGCATACCATTAAACGCAGTATCTCACTTGTTTTATTGAACTTTTGGATGAATTGCTTTCTACATATTAAATAGATTTAGTATGTACGATAACTTGCGAGAGTAATGACATGACATGTAGCACGATATTGAGGTATACAATATACCTAAGAAAGAAGTATTATGAATACATTAAGTATAAAACAACATGGATATCTAATTAGTTTAAAATACAGAGTAACTATTGTTATGTTATTAATGCCTATGATAGAGTATGATAGGATATCAACAGATTAGAAACAGTTACATTAACTATGTTGACATACAGGTTGAACATGAGAACACATACCATGTTATACATATAAACAGTGTAATGGTATTGCTGAGTTTGTTGCTAATTCACAGTAAATTAGTCTAAACTTACTGTTCAGTTTTGTGTGTTTGTTCTACATGAATTGAATTGAAGAATTGTTATTATTTCTTTACATAGGTACACATATATGTTTGATGATCCCATTTCAGATAAATGACAATCACTGGCATAGTCCAGGTATATGTCTTGATTGTGGTTATATTCCCAAATTGAGATACTGTCATATATATATTATATTGGTTGATACTTATATGTGTTTATTAATGAATTAATAAAGCATATTAATATAGATAGACACAGTATATTGTTGACATAAACTGATACAAGCTACATAACATGTTATATTTCATAATATTACATATTAAAGACATTTTAGATGCTATCTCATGATTAGCTGTGAAGCTCTCAGTGAAAATAGTAGTTAACTCTGATAGTACAATTATTATATTTATTTCTTGCTGTGTTTTGAATTTTATAAATATATATATATATAGCAATGGCTAACAATTGGTAGTAAACTCCAATGTTAAAAACCGAATAACTGTAAACTATTATTATTAATAGTTCCTTATTTAATCATTATTTAGTATAAAATCCAATTGAGATCTATTAGGATCCTCAAGGTTATCATAATCATATGATATTGATTATTAATGTGTTGAAAAAGCACCTAGAAATGATATCCAATTCCTCAAAGGTGTCATATTATGCTGGAATTATATATTATATGTATGCTCATATTGAATGTATTATATGTTTGAGCAATTGGGTCACTTCTTTGATGCTCTCTTGAAATTCATTAGAATGGCCCTTAGCAGCCATTGTTGATCAATAAAGGTACTTAAAGGTCCTGTACAGGTACCTGTAGCTATGTACATTTGTCATTTGAGACAATGTTTAGTAAGTGATTGTTGAAATTTATAAGCACCCAATTAATATGGGACATGTTAGAAAGTGATAGATTACAGGTAAGACTATTCTTACATGGTTCAGTTTTGTAAACTATGAAGTTGTCTTTTAACCTAAAGAAAAGCTTTTGGTAAAGCCAGAAATGAATGTTGTTGGCTCTTGATTGTATTATTGATTGTACAAGAAACCTGTTGAATTTTCTAAACAATACTTGAGCAACAAGTTTGTCTTTAAATTTACTATTAGTGTTATGAATATGAATAAAAGTTTTTGGAAATAAGTTAATATTTGTGTACATACAGAATGTTTGGATATATATATTGAGTCGCAACAGTGAGAGTATTTGCCTTTTGATGAGTTATAACTCTCCATACAGTAAATTGCACAAAATGTCATGATTTTATA